CAAACCTCTGATGACGGAGCTTGAACACCCCTTCTCGCTGACAGAACCGCCGGCAGAAACTTCACTGCAGATGTGCGAATATGCCAGGGAGTACTTTAGCGATACTCTTACCACAAGTAGGCCTTTTGATCTGCCCGATACGGATGTCAGGGAGTCTTCGGACTTTTGGAGATTCTCTGCTAAGTCGCTCCCTTTGCACAAATCTCTGAATCTACGTTGGTCCCATTTCCACTGCCCTGGGTGGCACTCTTTGGTACCATTTGGTACTTAGCTTTTCCAACAGGCATGAAGTGTTGTCGCCTTTGGGTGATGCCACTCTCCGGCCCTTGTCATGAAGATCCCATGGCAAGAAGGAAAGGGGTACTTCACCTGAAGATTTTCAACATCGTCAGAAAGGAAAGGGCCCCTCCATCTCACTGGACCTGTGTACCTGTGTCCTCTGGACATCCGTTGAGAATTGAAATTGGAATGGTACAGAGAAGATTCGCACAGTCCCTGTGCAAGGATGACACACGTTGGTCAATATGTGTTTCAATTTTTCAAATTATAAGAAAAGAAGAAGTAGCAGTGTAGCTTTGCAGCTGGGGGATGCCGTTTAGTACCTTGGTCGTGAAACATCCCTGCCGCTTAGTACCATTTGTCCAGTACCTAGGTCTCTCAGCTTCTGGGTGGTGTTTCTATAGGTAGTAGGTACCACTTGGTAGGTGGGACTCAGTGCCAGTGGTACCACAGCTCCAGATACCACTGGGTCCCTACCCACCGTCTTTCCCCAAAGTTCCCCGAACACAATGCACCTTCATCATGACTGTGTTAAACCCGAAAGGTTGGGTCTGTATGTTCATGATGAAGGCGCATTGTGCTTGGGGGAAGATGGTAGTCTTAACTTTATGGTGGGTACGAAATGTGTACGATGACAAAAAAGAAAAGAAAAGAAAAAATGTGGGGTGTTTGAGGACCAATACCAAATGTAACATCCCAAACCCAGACCCCACTTCATTGACATTTTCTCCCCTTTTGTTTCTTTTGGTTGATGTTTCTTTTCTTGTTCTTTTGTTTTTTTTTTGGTTTGTTTGTATTTCTTCTTCTTTTGATTCACATTGGCCACGTACTGTCAGCCTTGGTTGATGTCTTCTTTGTCTTTTTTCAACTTTTTTTCTTTTTCCTTATGCTTCTTCAGATTTGCGGGGAGACTCCTGTGCTGTCAATAGACAAGAAAAGCAAAAGCGGCATTTTTTGCTGTTGTTCTATAATTTCTGTAAAATTACAAATTTGTGTTACTCTCAGGCCTTGGCACGCATCAAAGTGCCCGCCCGTGCAAACAAGGCCAGGTCGCCCTAATTGAGTGAAGGTGGGCCTGAGGAAGTGACGCCGGCAACGAAGCGAAGGCCAGCTGGGGGAAGTTCTGGGCCGCCAGCCCCTGTAGCGAGCGGGTGGGCCCAGCCTACAGTTACTTGCAGATGCCAGGACCGGACTCAGACTCGTGGGCAGTGCCTGACCAGACCATGGCCTCCAGAAGAGACAAAAAGAGGGAGGTGGCTGGGTAGTGCGCATTCAGGCATTTGACAGTTTATGGCAGCGCTGGGCAGCACATTGCAGCCAGAGTGCCCCCGTGCAGGAGGCAGCTATGGTGGCTTCTGCACCAGTGCCAGCCATAGCTGGGAAGCACTAAGCAGGGCAGCAAGTTGGCGAGGGGTGGAGTGGTCAGGAAGAGGAGGAAGACCATGGGAGCTGGCTTGTCTTACCTGGTGTTGACCCGGGACAGCCTGTGTGAGCAGACGCTTCGAGCAGCATGCGGCGAGTGTAGGAGGAGTAGGGAGTAAAGTAATGTGTGTACAGAGTGAGGCTACTACATTGATGTGCGTACACGTAGGGAGGCTGCAACAGAGTGACTCTTCAAGCAGCATGACCAGAGTGAACAGACCCATGTTAAGTGCACACACACACAGAGAGAGAGAGAGAGAGAGAGAGAGAGAGAGAGAGAGAGAGAGAGAGAGAGAGAGAGA